TTTTTGCGTACTATGTACTTGTAATGCCTATTACTGTTTCTTTTACAAATACGAATAACAGGCCTATAACTTAAGTATTGCATCCTGCTCAAACTTAGAAGACATTAAGAATAAGTAAATATCCATAGAAAACTGTTTTTGATACGTTATGCCTTCTACATGAGGATCACATTCCCTGCTCCATCCCCACATTACTTTTGCTAGCTTGGAGATCGTCTTTCTTATACATTCAAATCTGAGGCTGAAACTAATTTCTTTGCAGTTGGTATTAAAAAAAAGGCAAATTCATCATAAAGTACATATCCCTCACACAGCAGATACATCAAGCACTGCCACTGTGTTACTAAATGGTGGCCTGCTTAGACTTGGATAACCCATGTGCACTAGAGAACCAAATCCACATGAGGGCCTAAATTGTTGGCTGAAAGGAAGAAGTATCTTAAAAAGGTGCACAAAGGAATATCACACTAGCCCATATGAGTTTCACTATTGTGCTTCCCTGACAATAAAAGCAATACAGACACACTTTAAAAAGTCAGTCCACTGGCTGTATTTAAGGCACAGCTGACTGTTGGAATTATGTAGGCTAGGTCACTCACTGCTTTTCATGAGGTCAAAGAATTTAAAAAAAAAAAAGGGTAGAAAAAAGTAGCTTGCAACAGCAATTTATTTTGCATCTCATCCCTTTATACCAAAAGGTGTTAAGTTAGATTGCTTTCCTTTTTGAGGCCAGCAGTAAAAGCAAGAGAGAGAGTTGTGGGTCTATCTAACTCTATCATGTCCTATGAACAAGAAACTCTTGAGATCTGAAACCATGACAATACTAGATGAAGCTTTCTGGGTTTAGATGCATTAATAATTTAGGACAATTGATCCTGGCATTTCTGTTGCAGCTGATTATTGTATTATTTACGCTTCTTTATGGTTTGGGTTTCAACTCCCTCCCTCTCCCTTGGGAGCTGTAGACTGCAATTTGCTTTGTATTATTCTGCCTTTTGCATCAGAATTGCCTAAGAAATGAAAACAAATGGAAGGAAATAAACATAAAGCCACAAGGACCTAGCTTATGATTATTTTATAATTCAATATTTAATCCTATGAGGCATTCTGGGCAGGCTGCAATAGATAATATGTCACAAAACAAACTGCTCACTCCATCCCAATCTTTAGCTTTCTACAGCAGAATACTCTTAAAGGGCTGATAAATTTTTAAAGTTTGCATGTATTGGGTTCAGGCATATTACAATGTCTTCATTTCTGGACTCAAAGAAACATTGACTTCTGTAAGTCAGGGAATACATTACACAGCTAATTATTAAAACAACAACAACAAAACAAAAAAAAACCAAAAAAGCAAAAAAAAAGAGACACAAACAAAAAACCCCCAACAACCAAAATCCAGACAAAATAAATGAAGTGACAGAGTTAAGTTAAACAAGTCCTCTTCTTGTTCTGTATGCGCAGACTCTACACAAAACTTGTAGCTGTTGCCCTGGTTTTCACTAGAGGTCAGAGAAAGAACAATGTATCCACCATATGGCTGCATAAGTCTATAGAGTTGACAAATACGGTGTGCTAGAAATTTTCCAAGAGATAACAAAGCATCTATGGTTTTAATTTTCAACAGACTGTGACTTCATGAAGGACTAAATGATATTCACTTTACTTACACTGAATGGGATCATGCTATACAGCTAATTCAAACGACTCCTGCAAAACAACATTTCATGCAAGAAACTTCTCAATCTCAGTAAAATCTTCCAGTAAGCAAATAGTGGTTTTGAGCATACATGTTTAGGGCTTGTATCACGCTCTTTGCAGTCTGAGTAATGGCAGCATTAATATCTGCTCAAAAGCCACATAGAGGAGCTAGAGGATGCATTATCTAATCTCTGCACGACAGCTGGGTGTTGAGACAATGTTCAGAGACCTGGATTCTAGGATGGCCTCCGTCTAAAGGCTGAACTAACCTGTGATTGCTGACCAAGTGCAGTGCTCTAACCACCTGAAAGAGGCAGGGTAAGTCTCCACCATCATGGTTAAAGATGGCTCTTAGCAGAGAAAGAAGCACAGTACTTGCAGCAGTAGAGAGAGCATAAGGCAGAGAGACTTTCTCTAACCAAAGATGGATGTTTGCCCATGGAATCTCAAGTGGCCTCAGCTGCCCCTCAGGTGCCTGTGTCATGGGGTGGGTCATGTGTTTATTTAGATATGCTTCATATCATGTTTTCTTTCAGCTAATCATAAATGGCTTCTATTCAGTATACAAATTATCAAGCTGCTTTTTGCCAAGGAAAAGTGTCAAAGGAAAAGAGGAAGAGTATATGCATCATGTCAGACTACTGAAACATTGAGGACACTTAACCCTTCAACACTGACTTTAAAGAAACAAGTGTTTTGCATCATCCTGCTGAGTTTGGTATCTAATTTTAGATTAATTTTATACTTTCCTTTCAGTGCTCTGATCAAACATTATTAGAATGTAACTCATAACACTTTCAGACAAATTTATAAAATATTTTAGCATGGACATAAGTTTAAAATAAACTCAAAACAATGTAAGAAATTGCTGACAAAAAACATATGGGTTTTTCAAATACCTAAAATGTAATTACAGTTGATAGTATAAGACAATTTTACAGTAACTAGAAGCTCTATCAGACCACAAGTCCTCATGATTGCTGCAATCCTTAGGTGATGATAAGGTAGCAAGGCAAAAAGATAAACTATTTCATGATACTTACTAAAACCTTAATACTGGCCATTTAAAACCTGTTCTAGAAATTAAATCCCTCCAGGTAACTCCCAAACATATTCTGCATCAAAACCAGTGTTCAGATTTTCAGTTCAAACACATATATAGTCAGAAAGGTAAAATGTCTGGCTTTTAAAAAAATTATCTGTATTTGTACAACAAATTTTAAGTTCTGGTAGCAGCATATATATTTGAGAGACTAAAACAATATGGTGATGTTAAAGTAATTTGCTCATGTTCTTGTCTCACTCTGACATAAACGGGAATCCTGTACCATCTATAGTCTCTTGTTATTTAGAGACACAATGAAAGACCAGTATCACATAGCTTAGTGTCACCCAGATTTAGACTGAAAAGAAAAAGCTGAAGGCTGCACACTCAGGAGCATCCTATTTATAACACTTTTTTGATCCAAAAGAAGCATTTGGAGATGGATGTAAAACAAGCAGATAGTGCACACATGGCAATGAACATTGTGGAGGCATACGCACAACATACCAACTTTATATTAAAAGAATTAATTTAAATCAGTTTTTTGAGCTATATTTGAAAACTAGGAAGTGCAGAATAGTTACTACCTTTTGTTACTCAATTTTATTTTGGGAGCAATAATTTTAATAATACAAAGGAAAGGCAGCTTTCTGTGACACAAGGTTTATAAATTACAATAGAAGTATGCATCTTGCTGTAAGATTCCCTAAACGTTCTCCACATTTTGTAAGACAAAAATTCTTAAAGAAGCTTGCCTGCTCTGAGATACCAATTATTCTACTGTAACACAGCTAGCAATCACTCTCAAGAAAGGATGTTTTTCTCTAGCTTCAGCTATTTGGTTTTATCCAGTTTCAGCTATTTAGAGAAATGTTTTATTGAGTTTACAAATAAGGACTCTCAATATTCCATTTCCCTTTCCATAGCATAAATCATATGGCCTAAGCATGTCATTATGACTATAATTTACGTGATGCAACATGACAGTTAAGATGTACTGTGGTAATTTGTGAGTGCTTTCAGTATTATTGTAGTATCAAAAATTTATATGGTTCAGTTATTAAGGCAAATTGCTTCATTCATACAGAGATATTTGACAGTAACCACAAAGGACCTTCAAATTACACTGAAAAAATATCTTCCACATTCAAATAATTTGTGCACATACTTACCATTATTTTGCTTACTGAATAGGAGGAGGATGAAATTCTGTCTGGAAAAGTATCACTTCATATCTCAGGGTAAGTACACCAGACATGGAAGATTATAGAAGAAACTCTCCCTTGCCCAGCTAAATGAGCCTGACTATCTTTAACAATTTATATCTATGAACAGGATGCCCAATTCTTTAGAATGATGCTATTTAGTTTCCACATGCTCATTTACCTTCTGTCAAGTTGATTTTCAGCCAGAATGAAGAAAATAAATAAATAAGAGGTTGACTAGACTGAAGAGACTATAGAGGAAAATGTGCTCAAGTGTATTAATGTTAGCATTTCTGATAAGTTTTAGCATAAACAGGGTTATAGTAAAGGGAAACCTGTTTAGCTTTCTTCACATTTAGGACTCATGCAGTCCTCAGTTCTACTCTCTGGAAAAATATTAGATTTTCACGAAGATATAATGTATGACAGCAGAAAGTCTAATGGTGAGAAGTCTGATAGACCACTAAAGCATGTGAGACTTTATAAAGCAAGGGCCTGAATATGCATGTACATGCACACATGGACACATGCAGGCATGGATAAATATATGCATTAGAACTGGCACAGAGCTCACAACAGCATTTTTGGAGTTCTGGGGCAGAGAGCTCCGTGCACACACAAGTTCCCTGCCAAACATTGAAGTTTTGTAACACACCCCCACAACATCTGATACACAACTTGCATCTCTGAAAAGCAGACGAAGGAACTGGTTTTCAAAGCTGAGGACAAGGTGGGATGAGAACAGGATAAGCTGAACCACACACCAGCTTTATCATTCAAAAAAACAATGATGCAAACCGTATAGACTTCTCTAATACCTGACAGCAGAAGCCCAAAGAGGGCTCAAGGTCAAAGATACTTAGTGAATTTTCTCTACTTAACTTTTAGCCTCACAAGGATACTCTATAGGCCTGATTCCTTTCTGCTTGCAGTTTTGCTGTTCAAATAGCTATCCAAGTTAATCTTCCCTCAGTTCCACCCCCTTCAAAGCCTTACTTCTTTTCTCAAGAAACCAAATTAGCGTCTAGGCAAGCACCATCTGCACTTACTTTGTTGCCCAAATAAGAATGAGGTGCACTCCAATAATAAGTCTGTGGCAGTACTTTTCGTGCAGCCACGTTGCTGATGCTAAACTGCTGATACCCATCAAATCTCTTTTGCTTGGGGGTAACTCTGATGAGACCCGGTAAGCCAGTCAGATACCAGCCATTCATATCTTCTACCTATAATAACAGAAAAAAAAACAAACCCAAAACAAAACACATTACAATGAGAATCAGGACATCAGTCATTTCAATAGTCACAGCCTCTCATTCTTTCATCTTAAAAAAACCAACTGATTAGGTTTATATTATTAATAGCAGTTTAAGAACAAACGAAACAATCAAGTAATAACAGCAAAATTTCTCTTATTGTACGTGACTTGGAGTTATAACTTCTGAGTAGTTTGAAATAACTGCAAGTATTTACTTTCTCTGCTTCATATGGTCCATAGCAAGGAGGAAATTCTATCACACAAATATATGCTTAAGTCCAAATAGTACATAAGTTTTCAATAAATAACTTCAGTTACAGAGGGTACAGAATATGAGCTGACAAATGGATATACATTTTGTGATTGTTGTAGACAGCATAATTTATAATAATTTGTAATTCTAAAGCCTTACAACTTATAAGTTCAAATATACTTTTTTAGAAAGTCAAAGCAAAGCTGGAAAGCAGAAGAACTTTAATTTCTGAAATCCCATAATGAGAAATAAATCAGCAGAGAAGAGCACATTGTTCATACAAGGACAGCTTCTGGAGCCTGGACACAAGCAGAACAATAAATCAGCTCAGTCGTGGGATGGAAAATTTTCCTGATGCTGGCATGTAAATGAGCACACTAGGTATATCTGATTTTACTTGCAGACTTCCAGCACACCAACACAGCCAAAACCAGGAGCTAGTAGACCTGGAACACATTTCCCAAACTCGATCTTCAGACATGAATATGTAACGTACATCCATTACAGTGGAATCAGTATCTGAGCTTTGAGAATGAATTTAAAGTTTTGAGTACATTTGCAGGCTAAAGACATTTTTCTACAGCACAAATAAGAACAGTAGGTTCATCTCCCTTTCACATGTTTTCTTTAAATTGAAGCATGCAAAAGAAATTCACTCAGAATGCTCCCTGTAAGGCATGTCTTTTTCTTACATAAGATGTGTGTTGTACATTTAATGTTTCTAAATTCTTCACTATTTCAGGTCTAGAAATTTCACAATGACCTGAAAAAGAGGTCACTCCATGGATATGTTGCATTTAGCTCAGGACTGACTATGTATACACATTCCAGGACTGTGTTTATGCACATGGCTTCATTTTTGACCATTTCTAACTTCTTTTGCACCTTTCACTGTTTAACTGCACTTTTTCAGAACTTTGTCACAATGAAGAGAAACAGAGTTTATAAGCATTTTCTGTTGGATAAAAGAAAAATATATAGGGCATAAAAGAACAGGCATGATGTTATAGTAAGCTGCACTCTGGTGACAATGGGCAGTGACAACACACAGGAACACACAACCAGTGACATGTACTGATATGGTATGATTTTTCTTACACTTCTGTAGGTAAGGTGAGAGTGTGTGCAAACGTTTGTTTTCCCAGAGCAGAAACATTCCTCACAGCCTTTGGGATTATTTTGGTGCAGATTGAAGAAACCTGGTTTGCAACGATCACAGTTTTCTCCTTCAACATTTTCCTGGAAATGAACATTAGAATATTACTTCAGATGTCATAGATTGAGACATTCCTTGAAAGTACAAGCTTTATACTCTGCAGGAGAGTGCAAATGCAGGACTACGAAGACATTTATTGGAATGACTATTCTTATTCCTGAATATTAGTAGCATATCCTCTACACAACAGAAGTTACTATGGCTGCATGTAAAAAACAGGCTACAAATTTGGACATTATAAGATTTTTATTTTTCGTTTACACGAATCACAGAATCACAGAATCTTAGGAGTTGGAAGGGACCTCAAAAGATCATCCAGTCCAACCCCCCTGACTGAGCAGGATTATCTAAACTAGGTCACACAGGAACGTATCCAGGCGCGTTTTGAATGTCTCCAGAGAAGGAGACTCCACAACCTCTCTGGGCAGCCTGGTCCAGTGCTCTGTCACCCTCACAGTAAAAAAGTTTTTCCTCATATTCAGATTGAACCTCCTACGCTCCAGCTTGCTCCCATTGCCCCTTGTCCTGTCACTGGCTGTCACTGAGAAGAGCCTGGCTCCTTCCTCCTGACACTCGCCCTTTACAAATTTATAAACATGAATGAGGTCTCCCCTCAGTCTCCTCTTCTCCAAGCTAAAGAGACTCAGCTCCCTCAGCTGCTCCTCATACGGGAGATGCTCCACTCCCTTGATCATCTTTGTGGCTCTGTGCTAAACTCTTTCAAGCAATTTCCTGTCCTCCTTGAACTGAGGGGCCAGAATTGAACACAATATTCTAAATGCAGTCTCCCCAGGGCAGAGTAGAGGGGAAGGAGAACCTCTCTCGACCTACTCACCACACCCCTTCTGATACACCCCAGGATGCCATTGGCCTTCGTGGCCTCAAGGGCACAGTGCTGGCTCAGCAATGGACATACCTGATTTCAGAGAATAATCTAATTTATCTTCTTTACACTTAAGAGTGTCAGAGGTGAAGGAAGTATGGGTAACAATGTTACAGCCTCAAAAACTGTAGGTACGGCTGACAAAATCTGTGCATGCTCAGTTGATGCAAACTACAGGTACATAGTGTTATTTGTACCAATCATTCAGCTATCAGTTTTTCAGTGGTCTATCATTAATAGCTGAATTCAGGCCAAATCCAAGTGTTAAAAGGGTTGCATTTTCTTCCTTAAGTAACTAAATGTGTTTACCAGCCATGTAGCCAGGTCTGCAAACTCTTTCTCTGCAGAATGCCAGGCACTAAACATACATGAAGAATTTTAAACTTAGCATTTGGTAATTACATTTTTCAATGGAAACTTATGTTGTGCATTAAGTCCTGCTAGCTTACACAATAAATCAATTTGTCCTATAGGCAAAGATAAAGCTAGCTTTTCTACAAGGAATATGTTGCAAGAGGTTCATGCTATGGTGCTGGCTTAGTAATTCAGTATTTTCCCCAAGATATCCCAGAAAATTCTTTCCCTTTCAAAAGGGTTATATACAGTTTGGAAACAGTATGCACACATGACCAAATTGTTGGCTTCACATCAGCAGAGAATGAACACATTATAAAAAGTCTGCCCATGCTGTGTAGTCTATGATTGCTCGAAATATACATCTCTGAAGTAAGTTCACCAAAAGCCATTTGACAACCTCCTGATTAAGATCTAGCAAGGATCAAAAAACCAGGGCAAAGCATGTGGAGTTATGGGGAGAAAGAATAGCACTCATGGAATAAAAGAAAATAGGGACGATGTGAGGGAATGGGTCAGAACAGGTAAAGAAGAAGACAAAATGAAAATGTAAATAGGTTTTCACCACTGATTATTAGAGCAACAATATGTGCAGCAAAATAACTTTGTTCTAACTTTATTGCTGTGCCATGTCTAGGCTCCCCTTCAACAACATCACATAGATTCTGTTCAAGAAACCAAAAATCTTTCATACAACTCAAGGCCATCAGTCAATTACTTTTAACTTCAACATCTCATTAATTTAAAGAATGGTATTTTTACATTTTCACCAGCAATCTCAGAATTAATCAATGCATATTCTTGCCAAAGGTATGCTGAAATCACCCAGCTACTCATGCTTCATATGAAACATAATGTGGGTAACATTTGGGAACTCACAAGCACCCAAATGCTTTCACACAAAATTCCACTAACTAGAATTATGAATGCTGATCCCAAAAGTTTCACACCTTGCTGATGTGCTTAGTGTGTGCAGAATGAGAAAGGTGAAATAAAGAAGAGAGGTGCAAATGAAACATATGTGTGTAAATGAAAAGTTGTCCTACTCTGCAGTCATAAGCATGTCATCAGAGAGTAAAACCTGTAAAATTCTACTGAGTAGGCAGCAAGTTCAGTGGATAATAGATATATAACGCTCAAAGTTGGAAAGGAGAACTAACCTATCCTTCAGCCAATGAAGCAATGATAACAATCAAATGCCCCCTTTGCTGCATTTTGCTGCTTACAGTTAGAACTGTTTTTCCACAGTCAAATTCCTTTACAAGAAAACTATCTTCAGTAAATTTAGAGCTCATCATATGTAATTGAAAGATGTGATTAAAAGAAGGGAAGCATTTTTTCCTAAGACCTGCTATTAACTTGTCCAGACATCTCACTTTATTCTTCATATGGAGCATAACTAATCTGATGATTTCAGTGTCCCTTTGACCATAATCTGCTTTGATTTGAATTTGAAGATTGCTAGTGAAAATAAATGTGTATGTATCTGTATCTCAGCTATCTGCAAAGGGTATCATTTTTCTCCCACAAGCACTTAAAAAAGGGATTAGTGGAGCAGAAAGGAGACAAAGGGTGAACAGCAAGAAAAAAGTGTATATAGTGCAGACTCTCTGGGACAGGAGCAATTATCTCTACTCCACATTTGTTCATTTTGGTGTGACTGTACTAACAGGTCAGCTTGGCATTACACAAATCATGTCATAATAATAAGAATCATTTAGAAGTAGTTATCATGATATCTTCATCAAAGCTCCCTTTCAAGTCAGAATATAGCAAAAGCACCCCTTTTCTGGTCTTCTAGACTTGATAGCTAAGGAATTAGAACTGTGATAGGGATAGATTTTATTTCTGACAGAGAGCGTGTGACTGTTACATAAAGTGAGAATAAGGTTAATTCTCTGAGTAGATTTCAGTGCTATTCAGCTGTCACACCAGAGCTTTATGAGTGTATGCAGCATGAGATGACAGACTGAAGCAATTTTTGTACATTCTTGTATTTAAGGACGTAATGTAAGTATTTTTTAAATTCATGTTTTAAATTCATGTGACTAATTCTGTTAATTAAACTCCCATAAGTACAACAGAGAAAAATTGACCCACAGTACATTATATTGCCCTTTGGGCATATTCACGGTCACTTCCTAAACCATGACTTACAGACCACCACCATTTCTGAAGCTTTTCTGGTACCTAGGTGTTTTTTGAAGTTTTTTATTTCAATATAATATCAATATATAATTTGCTGGAGGTACATGAAGGCACACAGAGAAAAAAAATTCTTTAATTTTCTTCTTAGAAATTAAGAAATTCATCCTACAGAAAAGATTGATTCTTTTTCTTTTTTTTTTAAATAAGTTAGAGATTTCTAAACAACCATCCCAACACAGGAAAGAATGCTGTCAGTTTGGAACGTAGCAAGAAAAGAGGATTATATCCCTAGTGGCAACTCCTAAAAGGCAGCTTTTTTGGTTGTTTTAATACATCATCAGTTCACCTCGCTTTCCCTTTTGAAGTCATATTACAGGTTAGTTTTAGAGCCCACAGTACTTTAAACAATAGTTTCTGAGTAGATGAGGATGTGAGATTGAAACAAATTATTCACAGGCTCAAGTATCCCTTCTTCACAAATTTCTAAGGACCTGTATGACTAGCAGCAGGCTCCTAAATACCTATGTTAATTAGAGCGAGTACTGAGATGACAGAAGACAATCTAAGACTTCACAGGATCAAGAAAAAGTGTTCTATGAAAGTGAATAACGTAGATACTAGCACATCTAGGTAGGACAGACAGAACACTATTGCACGATAGAAGACCATTAACTGCAATCTTTCAACATCATCAGTATCCTCGTATGATTCAGAAGAATTCCATATCCATACCTTGCAGATGCAGGGACCTATGCAAGGGTCAAAATTCATACTGCCTTTCAGTGAGCAGTTGCAGGGCAGGCACTCAGGATATCCTGTATAACCCAAGGCACATCTGTTGCAGCTCTCTCCTGCATAGCCAGTCTTGCAGTGACAGAAACCAGGCAACATATCTATGGGAAGAGGGAGAAAACATGAGACATAATTGATTTATAGTTATTATTATTATTATTATTAGCAGCAGCAGCATCTATTTGTGTTGGAATGCTCAAAGCAACATCTTTGGCAGGTGTAACATAAGGGGGTTTACTGTGGGTCAGATCATATGACTATTTAACACAGTATCCTGGCTGAGAAAGGATAGATTAAAGTATGTAATAGAGAGAGTATACAGTGATTTAAATTCTGAGCTTCCAGAAATAGGTGTATTAAAAATCTTCTAAAAACTTATCCCTACTTCCTCACATCCAACAGTCCCTGAAAAACTTCTCTTCCATTAATTCACCTAATCGCCTCTGAACTTACTTTTACTTTCAGAATCCATAAAGCTCCCTAGCACTAAGTTCCACATTTAGCCGTGTAGTGCGAAAGAAAACACTCACGTTAAACCTGTATTTATTGCCCTCTAATTCTTCTATCATAGAAAACAGCAATGAACCATTCCCTACTCACTTTCCCCATGTCATCTGTGATTTCAATATACCTCTATCATACCCACACAACATTTTTATTTCATACACCAAAAACTTCTAAGCCTATTTAATATCTCTTTAAGCAGAAATTGCTTTGTAGGGCTGAAAATCTCTATTGTCCTCTTCACTGTTTACAGTTCTAAGAAATTATTTAAGGGGAAAGGAGTGCATAGTGTGGTCCTATAAATGTTTTGATGATTTTTTCAGTTTTGTTTCTTAGACATCAGTAATATTTCCTAAGGCTCTGCTGGCCTTTTTGACTACTACTGAGCCAGCACTGAGCTGATACATCCAGGGCATAGTCCAAAATAATTCTAAGATCTGTTTCACAAGTGATAGTGTCTATAATTCAGAAATCGCTGCAATCAATGTACAAGTAGAACTACTTATCTCTGTGTTCTACTTTTCCTTTAATTGGTACAGAAATTCATCAGTTATTTTACTACCCAGGCACCGACTATCTTGAGAACTTTCTGAACATTTTGCAGTTATTTCATTTTTCTATGGTGAAAGATTTTGTACTTGCTAAGTTTGTCACCTTCCTACTCATCCCTTTTCCAGGTTAAATATGAATGTTTTCAACAGTTCATGTTGATCATCACTGTGAAAATGGTCCATTTATTCTTTTAACCAAGTACTAATCCATGAAAGAACCTTTCCTCCTTATTCTATTATACTTTCTTTCATGGTCTTTTGTGAAGAACCTTGCCAAAACTTTTTGAAAATCAAAATACTGTATTAATCAAATGAGCTTTTGTTCACATGTTCATTGAATCCTTCTAACAGATTCATAAGGCACACTGTCCTCTACAAAAAAAAACCAAACAACCCTGATCTTGAGTTTTGCTCATTTTTGCCATAGTTCAACAATGGTGTAAATAATTTATTGTAGTTCTACTGATTTGCTTGGTACAGAAACCAGGCCTTCTGATTTTAGCTTCATGGAACCATCTGCCTTTCTTTTACAAATTGGATAAACAGTTTCTATTGATGTAATATTAATGACTGTTTTTAAAAGTATTATAAACCATATTTAATGCCTCAAGGAACTCCATTTTCAACTACATCCAGAAGCCATGGACAAATATGATCTATTCCTAATGAATTTTTATTTTCCATTTCTCAGTTTTCTCTAAACCTGACACTTCTGTTTGAAACAGTTCTTCTGACTTGTCCCCATGAACAAAGACTCCCAAGTGGGAAAATCCCTGAGCTCTTCTATTTGCTGATACAAAGAATTAATCTGGCTTTTCTGCTGTGTCCTTTTCTTTCTTGAAATCTCTGGCTATATCTTGATTACACATTAATAATAATTAACTCCTACTGAATTTGAATCTGTAGCAGTCCTTTTGATTCTGAATAAGTACTTAGCAACATTTAAGCATTTAGCAAATTACTTCTTAAAAGATGTATGTGTTATTAAGAGTACTGCTTTTCAGAATCTGTCACAATTTATGTCCTTTTCTTTTATCCTCAGTTGGATATAACTTCTGCTTTTCCAGGGAGCTTCTTTTTTAATTTTTCAATCCGTTTTTCTAGCTTGCATTGCTTGAATAATTTTGAATTAGAGGGGTGCATCTTCTCTGAATGGCTAATATGCAGTCTAGAAACCCTATGCTTGTCATTAGCAACCTTGGATTGTTCATTTTTATTTTCTTTTTAAAGGTTTCTTTGTTTTGATTAGGTTGTTTTTAGGGAGGCCTTCTCATTCCTACAAGAATGTTGAATTTGACTGCCCTTCAAGAGGAAAGTTTTAAGCCAGTTCCTCATGCATAAATCCAGAGATGCTTCTCTTTTTATAGTTTCTCTAACTAGCTGTTTGAAGAAGCAGTCACCTACAGGAGTTTTAAATTATATTATCTGTTAATCTATACAGAGATTAAATTCAATCTGCCTTCTCTAACCTTGCAGCCTCTTTGATCTCCTGTAGCACATCATATTGACTGTCACCTTCTTGATCTGTCCTAATTACATAAAGAACTTCAGAGCATGAAATTCCTGTGTCATTTACTATCGTATAACCATGTGCCCCATGGGTTTTGATGCCTCTGGCCCAGCCAGTTCTCAAATTTCTGAGTTACCCTCCTCTCAACTAGCCACCAGTGAGGCCCCACAGCACAGCAGGCCTCAGGCTCTTCTGTAATCTGAGACAGGGCACCCTAGCCAGACAATTTTGTCTTACAAGAGAAGCTTCTGTTCCCTCCACGTGAAAATACCCTGCTGTTTCCACCAGAAAAAGTCTAGCTCTTTAGAAGTGACCCGGTCTTATTTGAAAGTTTTGAGAACTCATTCTTAGGCTTCACGAGTTAAGTCACAGCAAACTCAAATTCAATTAAATGTCTCAATATGGAACAATCCCCAAATACTCATTTCAATCTATAGTCTCTCCTCCACTGCCCAGTCAGTCCATTTCTTAGTTCCCCATCAAAAACCTTCCTTTCTACTGCTCTTTCCAGTCTCTGCAGTTGAGGAAGAGAGACCAGGATTGTCACCACACCAGCAATTCCCTTTCTTATGCAGTATATACAGTATAAATTTATGTACAGTAGTGGATATCCTTCAGCCTACCATCTATCAAGAGACCTCACACTCCACAGCAGAAAGGAAGGAGTAAAGACTACTGTCATATATTCTTCCAGTTCTTACGCTTGTCGATACAGTTACTCTGTATATTTTATTTGGCTCAATGCCTTCTTTTATTTACAGCACTTGCAAGATCTAGGCTCTCATTACACAGCATGTAAATTCCTGTCAATGTCCCGCTGGTTATCTTTGACCAGGTTGCTGTACCGCATATTATGTCAACACCCTAATTACATTTCGATTTAGTGCAGATGTTTCAGGTCTGTCTTTTGTTGTTGTCGTAATGAAACAACATTTCAGCAGAAGCACATCTTTTGCTTTTGGCCTGCTACTTCATAGGCCTTGTTTGGTTGGGGATTTATTTGTTCAAGCAGTCCTTTCCCATTTTCTACCTGAATATTATCACTTTCTGTCCTAATTTTGAGTGTACAGAGGCTTTGAAAGTTCATCCTAGAAGATGAGTCATCTTGAACTAAGAGTTACATCAGTTAGTTCTCTCCCAGCCTACCAGTGTTTCAAAATTGCACAAAAATAAACACATGCAAAAGCACGCACCAGACCCCTGAAAAGACCTGCAATTCCAAGACTGGCCTCTGCCATTTTCACTCCTGTTCTACAGTGTATAAATTCCAGAAATGATCTCATGGAAGTCAGGGGGACTGTTTGCCAAGCAAAGTACTGTGAAGCCTGAATAAAAATGGAGATGTCTGGATCTTACTTTTCCTACTAAAAGGACTGTCTGAGAAGGATTTTCAGCAAAAAATAAGTATGTGTCATTGGAATTATATTGTACATAAAGAGGCAACAGAGAAAAAACTTCACTGCATGATAGTATCTGAGTCACAAAACTCTGCCAGTTTCCAAACATCACAGCTCTTGAAGATGCTTAAAAGCCAAGTAAAACAGCTATTCGTTAAAATCAAGCCACTACAGCTTGACACAAGAGTACTGATTCACTGAGAGAGCCTAATTACTGGAGTACGGAGTAGTTCTGAATGTACTGGTTCCACCCTGGCTTCTGTATACACGACTGCAAGTGATCACAATATCAGTGATGGTCAAGTTTATCTATTTTTAGGATAGATTGGACAAGTTCCATTTTAAATTTATTGCTATTCAGTTATAAAACCTAGAGATACTTTTATCAATTCATTTTATCAATACCATAGTTTGAAAACATACCATGATTTATTGTAAGTTTCTGGTTCTATTTTTTTCTATGTTGCTCACAAACATATAATATAACGCTGCTATGAAATAATATTTCAAAAGCATTCTTGGAGATTCAAAACTAAAAATATACTATACAAGCTAGATAACAATATTTCATTTCAGAATGTTGAGTCAAACATGTGAGGACAAAGTTATACTAGACTGATCAAAATGGAAATTATACATGCTTAATATACAAAAATACTTATTTTTCTCCTAAAAAAACCTCCTGGCCAATTATAAAGTGACTCCTTTATGCCCGTGTCTACTGAAACCTCAGGATGACTACAGGATGCTATCACTTAAATCCTCTTGTTGCACTTCAACAATGTACCAGTTATGATGGTAACTGTTACAATTTTCCATTTTAACTGTTGCTTTACCTACAGTATTCAAGCACACAGAGAATGTATAGCCTTCAGCTTTATTTTCCTTGAGAACAGTTCATGACGAGTTTATATCCCCACAGATTTTCCCTATTATCATATTACCATTTTAGTTTAATGTTTCTAATCTTCCCGACTAATTTGCTTAACACACATTTAAGAAGCGTATTCCCATCTTACAACAAGCAAAAAATTTCTCTTTAAACAACCAGCCAGCAAACTCTGAGATGTATTTCAAGCTACCCAGTGTGTATTCTGTGTATTCTGGTTCACAGGTGAACAGACAGATTCCTTCAGACAGATCATGCTTTTCAGCCTTTCCTTTATGAAGGCTCCCCAGTGCTTCAAACCCAACTGCTGCCCAGGGTGAGCAGTGTACAGTAAAAAGAATTTTATCAGGGTATTGAATATAAATTTCAGGAAAAAAAAACCCAAAACATAGAAAGTGATCTGCTTTCAGGATAGTTTTCTGCTAAAAAATATATCCAGATCTGCTCTTGTTTCTAACACAAGCCCTTCCATTACCACAAAAGTCTTTCCTGACAAGAAAAATTAAAAAGGCTTTCAACTATCATTATTGTGTCTTTTCTGTTGAATAAGTCATTACTGGCACAAATTTGGCTCACTGGTCCAAACATTATAATCAAATATAATGTGCAAGAGGTAAACAGTTTTCCTAATGTGTTGGGGCCTTATTTAGTACAACAAGAGATAAAAAAAAGCAAATAAACAGAAAGAGCTAGGCACAAAGAACAGCAACATTGTAGGCAGAATGGCTGCAAAGCCCAGTTATGTGTAGACTTGGCTCTTTTTTCTTTTTGTGGTCTTAAATAGGTAAATAATCAGAATTGTCTTCTGGCCACTGTCCAGATAGTGTAAACTGTCTACTTTTCACGGGGGTCCAAAGACTCGGAAGGACACAACTGGTTTCAGAAAAAAATACATGGACTACTTTGGGGAGGAAATTCCATGTATGATGGCTGTTATATAAAAAACAGTTGTTGCACTTGTCATGTATGAGAAGAAATAGTTTAAATACACAGAATAACCCCTACAGTAGATAAGCTGGAAAGAGGAGACATCAATGGGTTTAAAAAGCAATAAAGGTGAAAAACTATTTCATGTGTTACAAACAGCAGATTCAGCAGAGACTGCAAGTACTGTAATGTGCTCAAAAGCCACGGGCCTCTAACCAATTGTGGTCAAATGAATTGAGTTTCAGGAAGATCAGGAAAAGCTGGTTGCTGTCAAGAGAGAAAATTATGAGAGTTTTAATTCTGTGAAAAGAACAAAAGGACTCTCTGATTCTTGGGACTGGAGGAACTGCTGAGGTATGAAATGTGTTTGAATGCCTCGGGCTAGATAAGCCGGACTGGCTGTTGCCCAATAAAGATAAATGGAGGCAAAACAGAGAGAATCCAGTTTTTTATACATTATCTTCAAATGGTGGTAAAATACATTCCTTGATTTATTAGAAAGTTACAGTTAACTATCTTTAAATTAGAAGGATGGAGACAATAGAGAAACAGCAGGAAAGGAAAGGAAGAGTCCTAGAGAGGTCCAGAAAAAAGGCAAGAAAAGAATTTACCAGAAAGAAGATCAGAGATTTAAAAAGGTAGAAGAAGATACAAGAAGCAAGGTGTTAAAGCACAGTACCATGCAGTCAAGATTCAGAAAGTGTAAGCAAATTTAGAAAGCAACTATGAGATGGTTTAGGTCTGTTGTATCTTGCTCAGAGGGAAGAATAAAAGGCTATGAGAGCTCCTAATAACACTATTACTGATAACAAAACAAGATGGAAAAATGTCTTTATCTTTTTTCTTCCCTCTTCCCATGGGGGAAGAACTGACAGTCTATTAACTGCCTTACAGCTGCCAGGCCCCTGGAGAATGACCCACACCAGTGACCAGCAAGGAAGGTGTGAAAAGAAAGATGACAGCATTAACAGACAAGAGGGAGAGGAGGTGCTCCAGGCACTGGAGGAGAGAACCCCCTCCAGCCCCTCCACTCTCCAGAGGTGAAGTAGATATCTGCACTGTGCACCATGGAAGACCCCATAAATGAACAGCTGGATATTTCCTGAAAGAACATGCATGGTGGAGCATATTTTTTTCCTAAACGACAGTAGTCCACAGGAAGGACCCATGCTGGAGTCAGGGAAAGTGTGAGGAGAAAGGAGCATCACAGAGAAACCGTTATGACCACAACCCCCGCTCCCCATCCCGCTGCACCACTACTGGTATAAGGGGAGGAGATGGAGGAGGTGGGAAGGAAGGAGTGAGGTTGAGCCTGAAAAAAAAAAACAGGCGGTGTGGGGGAGGGAAAGTGGTTTTTACATTTTTGTCTTTATCACTATCTGAATCTATTCAAATTGGCAGTAAATTAAATTAATTTTGCCCAAGCCAAGTCTGTTTTGCCCATAACACTAATTGGTAAGCAATCTCCTGGTCTTGACCTTGACCCCTGAGCGGCTTCATCTTATTTTCTCCCTCTGTCCTGCTGAGAAGGGCAGTGAGAGAGTGGCTGGGTGGGCAGCTGCAGCTGGCCAAGGTCAACCCACCATGTATACCACGGTGACAGTAATCAGTATCATTTTATTGAACTGATGTAATCAGTACATGGTTGTTACAGAGCATTTTACACCTCTGGGCCCTGTATTTGCATCTCTTCTATGCTGCTTTTATGTTCCACTGATCTCTGTTTCAAAAAAGATTGCTGCAGCATCTCTTGTCAATAGATTTTAATTAGCCCAATTAAAACATCTCTTAAGAATTGACCTTGAGTTTTGTTCCCAAGGTATTTTTAGAAGTTTGTCAACAAAAGAACCAGAAAAATATGGCAATCCATTGTTCCCAAAGCACAAGGAAGCAGTTTATTCTCTGTCTGAAGACAGCTTTTACAGGGCTATGGTAAACAGCTTACAAACCTACATTAATAATAGACATAGAAAATAAATATGACACCCTTCAAACAGATTTTTTTTTCTAGGTTTCAAACGGAAATATGTTTAGAGAGGAAAAGAGATTAAAACATTATGGTTGTACTAGTTTTAATCTGCTGTAAAAGAAGAAAGCTCTTTAAAGCCAAAATTCTCAAGTATGTACAATGGGGAATACTCTTCCAAATGTACCCAAGTTTACAAACCATGAACCTGAAAGAAGCCTCAGCAAATTCCTGGATATAAAATCTGAGTTTCCAAAGAAAAGTATCATAAGAATGCAGGTGGATTATTGTTTGCATGACTAAAATTTTTTAAAAGTTTGTTAGTCTGATTTTTAAGAGATAAGACAAAAGCGTTTCAACTTTTCTTCGACCATTGCTGAACTTAAGCTTTAACATCGCTGCCTTTTAGGGATCTTACCTCCTTCTGCACTTTTCTCGTCTTTGACACAGGTATTATGTAAAGATCCATTTGGATCACAGGAACATGGCTGGCATGGATCTGGGCTATCTGGCAATACCTATAAAACCAAAGAGATTACAAACCAAAATCTTAACTTTAATAATTGGAAACTTTTATTTACTTCTTAAACAAAAAGTAGGAGAGAGCAACTTTTGTGCAGGTAGTTTGCACTTTAACAAAAATGAGACAGTTGCCAAACTTAGCCAATGCAGTCTAGGCATTAAAGTTATATTTTGGATTTTTATTTAGAAACATGGAAGTGATTTAAACACAAATATGATTCCAAATAAAAAAACTAGATGTAAAGATAATACAGACCCTTGTATAATTAAAATCAATAAATGTAATGAAGTAGATTTTAAGCATTCCCTACCTACAGTAATATTGACAAATAGTTCACTTATCCTGATAAACATGATTCAAAAAAAAGCTAACTCAATTTAGTTAGTCAGTAACTGAACAAAATGGGTAAGTTAATAAAAGGGAATATTAGACAATGGAACAATTTCCTTTTGTTCTTGAAAAGGTTACCTCAACCAAACTTAAACTTTACTCTAATATCGCACTGGGAATATAAAGTAGAAGTTCTTAATGAACTATGCATATATACATACTATAGATACATTATACACACACATACATATATAAATTCCCTATTAGTTGGATGATAACCTGATTCAGAGGAAAAAAAATCAAGTGCCCTAGTGTTGAAGAGAACAGTACACCTTTTCTCAAGCTCTAAGGCTAAAACCAATATTTTCAGAGAATGTAATTATTGTTATTTGCTGATGTTTTCTGTGTTTGAGGATTGAAAACCAATCAGAATAAAGGCCATGATTTACCCAACTGAAACTATACAAACAAAATATCAGGAATTTAAGCACTAATAATGTAACTGTCTAAAGCACAGGCACAGCCCACATTGGCAGTAGAGCCTAATGTAAGATTCCTGTTCTGACAGCTTCAACTTAGATGAAAATACAGCTTTATATGGTGAAACACAAAAAAACAATTCCCACCGCACTGAAAATGAAAGGCATTCATGAGACATTATAGAATTTCAGTGGTTATTAATTCTACATTACATTTAAAAAATAAGAATTATAGACTCTCTTTCTCCAGTATCAAATATAGCAGTATTTCTTTGATCTTTGATAACAAATCTTGAAATTCATTAGTGAGGCAAAAGTTCTGTTTACAGGACCACATCCTTTTTTAAATTAAATTTAAATACTAGCTGGAGGCCCTGACCTCAAGTGCATTCCTTCGTATCAACACAATTCACTTTCATACTTCTGTGAGCGTTAACTTTACAGATTTCCAGCTGTGAAAAGCAACTGCTACCCTGTCAGAAGTAGAATTTAACCTTCATAAAATGGCAATCCAAACTGTGTCATCTCTTTTTAATAACTTAACTCCCCACGCTGAAGTGATGCTCTAAACTGTGAGCTTTACAGTGAAGTGACAACAGAACATGCATTTACCCCTTTAGGTCTGAAGTAACCGTTGATGCAGGTCTCGCAATTTATGCCACCGGTATGGCTTGTGCAGTTCACACACACTCCGCCCCCAGTGTATTCTCCGTGGACATTTAAACTCTGATTTCTGTCTGCAACATCCTGATCATAGTAACACTCCTCAGTCTTCCCATGACAGTTGCATGCTAAATGAGAAGGAACTGTGTTAGCCAACACTCTCAGGCTGGAGATGCCACGCTGTTCCTTAAGTATTAAAAAGAATTGTTCAACATTTTATCATTGGTGCCGCATACACTGTAGCTGGCAGCATATCCAAGTGTTAATTTACTATTTCAGTTATGAAAAGCAATGTGGTCCTATCACAAACAGCCTGGAATTCTGTATATAGTGTATTTTTCTCTCAATATTTTGTCTGGGGGAGAATGGAAGTTGATAGATATATGTTCTTTCTGATTTGTTTTGGGTTATTTTTCTGTTTAAATTGATAGTCAAGAAACTTTTTGGTGGTTGCACACACAGATGGTTCATGAAAGAATCAGCTAATTTAAAATGCAAGAGGAATTATAAGTAAAGCAGCAGAATGGTATAAGTAAATTTAAATATTTTCCATGAAAGCCAAAAGACATCCTAAAAATATGTGATTTACACATATGCATATAAGAGCTGGGCCAGAACAACAGGATTCCCAATCTTAAAACTTCTTTAGAAGTTCAGATTTGAACTCTGAAGATTCAGGTCCACAGGCAGGAGAGCTAATCTAACAATCTGTTGCTGTGAAAATGAGGTAGCTCGCACTCTGTCTCTCTTCCCCTGTGGAATTAAAACAATCATTTCAACATAAAGAGAAATTCAGAGCTTGTCAACATTGCAGGGAGTCATTCTCCTCACATCTGAAACAGATCCCAGGGAACTGTTTCCACCATGAAAGTACAACAATTCACTGAGGGTTGAACAGGGCATAAGAAGTGTCTCTCAAAAATTAAACTTGGAAATAAATCTACCCTGATCGTATTCCAGAATGCATTCTCAGTGTGTATTCCAGAATGCATACTCAGTGCACAGTCCCCACTGAAACAAAGACCTCTGTGACCAAAGTTTACAGGACACAAATAATCAATTACTCCTTTTAATATGGGGATATCTATTTCTTTTTATTTATTTTGTAACCACACACAGTAAAACTATAGCTGCCATCCTACAACTGAATAAACACTTACATGAAATAGAACACTAGATTATATTATGTTCAGAAATATAAGTGGTATGTGACCTTTGGAAATAACATGTTAAAGTTCAATTATAACTACCCTTACTACAGTAAATCTGAAAATGAAATTTCCATTCTGTGGGAAGGTGGTATTTCACTGTATCTTTTCATTTCATGTTGGAAAAACTAGATACCTTGTTTTTCCCATTAAAAAAATCAGAAACTCAAATTGTATTTTGATCATGTAACAATATTTTGTTTCAGCAAGGCTAAACATTATAATATAAAAAATGCCATTTATACAAAAATCATGCTGTTAATGTTTAATACAATGAAAAAAATCTGTAAAAAAGATTTTTTACTTATCAGGATACAGTCCTGTTATTTTATCAAAACAAACTCACCATAATTATAAAAACTAAGCAGGTCAAAATGTTTCAGGTTTTTTATACAGTATTCCACCAACATCAGCACGTTACACTAGAATATTATGAGTTCAATAAAACCATGATTCCATGTGTAATTATTCTGTTAACTTCTTTGAGCCACCATTAGTAAATGAACGACGACTGATTCATAAACAAATGTGGTTAGAAATAACATTAATTGCAAAATCATGTAGGAGCTGATTTCAGTTTTCACCAGCAGTTGCAATAAACCCTCTCTTCTGTGCTGCTTTCAACTTACGTTCGCATTCGTGCTTAACCAGGAAAGTGCCAGCATGCCAAGGCTTTTGATTGAAACCAGGACAACACCGATCACATGTTTCTCCGCATGTGTTGTGCTCACACTGACAGACGGATTTCTAATTTAAAAGAAAAACAAATATTTACACAACGTGATGATTTGAAGAACCTGTCCATGTACATAATCTGCATTCCAGTTCAAATTATGAAAACATTAACATGAAGAATGGCTATATTCTGTAATTCCTCTGTCTGTTCATTTTTATTCATTTCTGTATCCTGTGTCAACCAAGTGAGAGACTAAAGTGTGTTTAACTTCTAAAGCTCCATTTTAAGAAAACAGCCGCAATGCAAATAAAGATAGTGGGCCAGAGACTCTGAGGAGAATCTAAGAATGTAGGAGAATCTAATTCCAACTGGCTGAAGGAAGGAGGATGGAAGAAGGAAAGTTTCCCATTACAGGAAATAAGCCAAAGTGCTGGTAGCCCTCAAACACAGCTTCACATAATAGGAAAACTGGTTTGATAGTTAGCTTACACTAGAAGGAGTGAGCCAGTCTTTACCCTTCGCTTAGATGTAGCAACCCTGCAGCTGCAGAGTGAAATCAATTCTGTAGCTGATCCATTAAAAATTGTTATTTCTTTCAATTTTAGCATTTTTTTACTGGATAAGTCAACTCATCATGTAACCGTCTAATTGCATAACTAATTTTATGTGAGGAATAGCAGGAGCTTTTAAACTTTTAAGAGGTGAGAGCAGGACCAGCCTTTTGGTCACTTTTCAGTTCCTCAGCAGACCACCTTAGTCACAGCATGAAAACATTGCTGTAGGGAACACCCAAACTCTCTGAGCCACAGAAGCAGCTTGAAAAAGACAAAAGAAATGGTAGTTTGGAGAAATGAGGAGCAAAGATTGCCTTCCCAATAGTTATTAAAAGGAGAGGATTATCTGTGGTCCTTGTGAAGACACTTAAGGTCAAAGTAGCAAGGTAATCTAGAGAAATTGTATGGTTTACAGGGAAAAGCATATATCTTTCAAAACAAGGTTATGCTAAAGAATGTGTCAGAAAAGCAACACAGTAAATTCAAGCAACTTTATTCTTTGTAATGCTAGGGGAAAGATTAATTGTGCTAACAATTACCATCATGATGTTTATAGCCAAAGCCCACCTACTTTGGTTTGGCTTAGTCTAAAGAGTGTCCCTGGAGAGCTAAACCAAACACTCCATTATCTTTTATGGCTTGAGTTGTTTCACTTATACTCTTTTCTATACAGGTCAGACAACAAATACATATTTGTCATTCTGCAAAACAAGACACCATGCTCGTCAAAATGCCTTTATTTTATTTAGTAGCCAAACTATCTGAAGTTATGCAGTAATCACAAGAACAGCACTTATCTTCTGAGGCAGGCCTAATTATAACAGATGGCACTGAGACAATGCTGCAGTTTGATAACTAAGGCTATCTGAAATAATAGTTCAACACTTGCTATACACATCATCATAGGAAAAGCTTAGAAGTATTAAACCAAGGAGTCTGTAAAATTTTTTAAAGGATCCATGGAAACTGCTTAGAACTGTGAATAAATTCTCTATAGGATTTCTTCCACTTTTTTTTTTTTGTTCCTACACAATGGTGTAATGTCACATACAAACAAGATTCTCCATTAAATCTACAAAGCTCCTACTTAAGTGAATAGTATATGAAGAGATCCCACATTGTGGCACACTAGTAATACTAGTAGATTGGAAATTCTGTATTAGTGATAATGTGTGCATAGGTTTGGACCATCAGTAACAAATTATATTTCCGTATTTCAATTATATTTGTTAAATTTATTAATGGCGCAAAAAGAAAGCTACAGGTTGGAAAAAATTATAAACAGCTCATGATTTTCTGGACTAGCTTGACTGATGACTCAGTTAATATATTCTGCATAGTAAATGTGCCATTGCAGATCCATCATTTGTTTGCAAGTATTGATTAAATACTTGACAGTCATTTAGGAAACACCTCAATTAATAGCAAGGAGGAAAATAAATACTTACTGTTAGTACTCATCTCTGCAGCTACATAATTTAATCCAAATTTCTGCTGTTCCTAGAAAAATTTCAATATGAAGTGAATTATCTGAAACCTATTCTTTCTTTTCAGAGAGAGCCTCCGCTGACGTTCTATGAATGTTTATTATTCTGGTTGTCAGCACTGTTTCATCCTGGCACTGTTTCCAACTGTTCTTCTAGGTGAAGAACAGACACAAATTCACAGAACTCTGAGGATTATCAAGATTTTTTTCTTATGTTCTACCCTATGAATAAGACACACTAAGAACAAACAAAAAAAAAAAGAAAAATACATACATTGGTTGCTGGATCCAGTGGACAAGCCTTCGCATGGCCTGAACATATACACATGCCTCCAACAGAGATATCTTTTATAGAGTAGTAATACTGTAAGACAAAACAGAAATTGAATTGCTAAGTGGATTGTAAAATGCAGGTGCCAAACTGCAGAATTCATTTCTGAAGATAAATCTGTCAGGTCCTATTTTATTTCTTTTTTGATCTATTAAAAATATAGCAGACAGTGTAATCCAAGCTGCGTCTTGATCAACAGATTCAGGTTCAGTGAAAGAATGGGTATAAATTGGCACAGTTCCATTTGTTTGAAGTCACAAGAGTCATGTCAACTTGAACACAGCATACACCAAATGTGAGAATAGGAAAAGGCTATATGCACCACGGATAATGAAAAGTCAAATGCTATAGAAGTTAGTCCCTTCAGAAAACATGAAAAGGAAAAGGTATGATGATGGTGAGAAGAGAAAGGCTAGAACAAAAACTAAGAAACAATCACCTTTGTTCACCTTAGCTGGGTCTTACTTGGGCATTTATTGGACTGCAGAAATAAATCTTTTTTACTATTGGCCTTTTGAGAAACTTTCATTACTGAGATTTAAATAACTTTTGACCTGTTGCTTTCCCATTTGACTATTTCTATTTTTATTTTGGTGGGGATTAATAGCCCTAACCAGAAAGAAGGATGGAAAGAAATTTATAATCATGCATTATGACATCTGTGAAAAGCGAGTCTCACATGTCATCTCATCCATTTTCATTTGTTTTGGCAAGGGTCCCGTAACATCCTAACAACTGGCTAATCAAAACAAACATGCTATTTGCAAATTTTGCTGTTTCTGTGTTAAACCTCCTTTTCAATTCATTAATAAATACATCAAACCAAATGGGAACTCATATAACTCACAGTTAACCTTCTACTACACACACCACACAGAAAATGTACGATTTATGGTTAACCTTTATTTCCTGTTTTGTGGAATAGTGGCTTGTCTAATGTATTCTATAGGGAAAGTCAGAGCCTCATGGAGAGATGCCATGCAGAAGTTACTATTCTTTGTTGGTTTGAGAAATTTGGGGATTGTCCTGCACCAGGTTTTCATAAATATACAGTGATTTGAGAAGTTCAACATGAGCTGGCAATGTGCATTTGCAGCCCATAAAGCCAACTGTGTCCTGGACTGCATCAAAAAAAGCGTGGCAAGTAGGTCAAGGAAGTTGATTCTTCCCCTCTACTCTGCTCTTGTGAGACCCCACTTGGAGTGCTGTGTCTAGCTCTGGGGTCCTCAGCATGAAAAGGACATGGACCTGTTGGAGTGAGACCAGAAGAGGGCCATGAAAATGATTGGGGGACTGGAGCACATCTATGAAGACAGGCTGGGAGAGTTGGGGTTGTTTAGCCTGGAGAAGGCTCCAGGGAGACCTTCCAGTACCTGAAGGGGGCCTCTACAGCAAAAATGGGGAGGGACTATATGTGCAGTGATAGGACAAAGAGTAATGGATTTAAACTGAAAGGCAGTAGATTTAGACTAGATATTAGGAAGAAATTCTTTACTGTGAGGGTGGTGAGGCACTGAAACAGGTTGCCCAGAGGAGCTGTGGATGTCCCCTCCCTGGAAGTGTTCAAGGCCAGGTTGAATGGGGCGTTGAGCAACCTGGTCTAGAGGAAGATGTCCCTGCCCATGGCAGGGGGAATTGGAACTAGATGATCTTTGAGGGCCCTTCCAGCCTAAACCATGCTATGATTCCATGATTTTTAAAGTGTGAATTCAATTTTGTGTTTGTTTTCACTTAGAATCAGACTGATAACTCTGCATTTTTACATAAGCACAATTTCCATGATTAGTGAGGTTGCAATAACTGCCTCACCTGGAAGCGTTTCTGGGTTTGTAATACAAAACAGAATGGCACATTCCAAACTTTCAGAAAAAGCCAGCTCTCTGCGTATGTAGAGGAAGAAATAGAAACAAGAAATGGGGAACAGATGAAGCAAATTTTCTTTGCAGTTATCCACCATTGATTAATTATAAGAACTAAAGCCAAGAATAACAGTACTCCTCCTTTATAACAGGACATACTATAGTGGTACCTTGAACTTTTCAAAAGGAAAATAAGCTGACCAACAGAAAGAGGAATTGAGCAGAAAGAAAGGTATACATCCCCTAACATAGCTTTTAAGAATGCTTAGTAGAAAAAAACAGACGGAAAATAGAGTAACGCACAACATTTGAGCAGCAGAAAAACAGGGAGATGCGGCATAGGAAGAAAGCAGAGATTGCAGAAAGAAGAGATAGGTGTGTGCACACATAAGGAACAGTGGAGAAGACTGAGGTATGGTTTGAGTGCTGCATCCAAGCTTTTAAGCTAAAGCACAATGTAAAATTATTACTGTTAACAACAATCATATAATAATGCTAAAAGTATTGCATTCAGGCCCTGCTACTACTTAGCGCTAGTAGAAATTCTACTCAAAGTAAGCGTTCAAGGAATGTTATAGGCAGCAAAGGATTGAGCAGCAGAAGAGGCAAGTGGACATTATCTAACAGCAATCACTTGCCAATTACTTGCATCCAAATGTTTGCAGCCGAAGGAGCTGTGTGCCCCTATTACGCCAATAAGAATGTTATGTATGTTAATAACATCATTAAGCAGAAAAGATAAAATTACTTGTGCTATAGAGAAGATAACAAAATACTGTGAAGAGGAAAACCTCTAACTCCAGAATTTTGACAGATAACAATAGGTATTCATCATCTCCCAAAATTTCCTATGGCAAATAAAAGCAGGTACACCATTCACAATGTAAGAGAACTTCTACACATGCACTTCTACTGCTTTGCCAGAACTTACCCTCCTTGTAACAATTGGATCAATTTCAGTTGGATCTTTGTGTGCGAACATCATTAAATCAGCATTTAGTGTCCGTATCCTCTGAAATCTCAGGCGAATAAAGCGAGCAGAAGTGAATTCTAGCAATGTGCGTGAAGGATCATCAGCACTAGGCCGTCCGTTAATTAGAGAAGTATGAATCTGAAGAGAGAATTATTAAAGAAATAAGGAATTAGAAGACAGCAATGCTGCCATGACTATGCTGATAAATATCACTAAAAGCACTATGTGAATGCCTTTGTAAATGTAAAATACCTTCTTTCCTTAGAAAGCAGATTTCCCCAAAAAATATTCCATGTACTCATAGACCCCAGTTTTGGAGAGACTTTACAGTAAAAACGTGAGCAAAGGAAAGTCATCAGCTACAGAAAAACTGTAGCACAAACTGCATATGTGTACTAAGGCCCTACAATACTGTCCATGCCGCAGGCAAGTAATTTCTCCTCCTCTAATCTAGAATAGCTATATTCAAGTTATCAAACAACCAAAGGACTCAAAAATTTTGAGTTAAAGGAACGCATACTTGGAATGGGACTCAGAATTCAACAGGGGTCAGTCTGCACCTCTTAGGGCGGTCATCATCAAAACACTTTTGAACTGTTTTCTAAAGCCAGGATAAGGCAACATTTGAAATACTGAAAAATACAACAGCTAGATGAGACAAAATAAGCATTCATAAGCATCTCCCATTTCCCACTGTCTCTTTACACAATGAATCATTTCCTTTGAATCTTGTTCTCAGCAAGCTGAAGCAATTTCCTGGTTGCAACCGTTTTTACCTGGTCCCTAAGGAAAGTCTTTATCACTTCTGAGAACTCTGTTTAACATTTGTTTTTCCAAAGATGCTACCAATCTCTGCTCACACTGTGGCTTCTGTAAAGAAAGAGGCTCTGCCTGCCCTATCCTAAAGTCTAGAAATCATCTAGGTAAGTGTGTTCTGTGACTCTTTCATAAAGAGACTCACTGACCCCAATTGCAGTATCAAGGGCAATGCAACAAAAATAAGCAATCTTCTTCCCCTTTTTTTAGCTGATCATGGCACACATTAGCTGTGAATCAACAAAATAAAACAGATGGGCTGCTACAGAATTGTTCTTGGAAAAGGCCTACAAGAAGAATGTCAGGTATAGCAAAATATTGTTAACGAGCACCTAAGGGGAGGGAGGAAAGAAACCATTAATTTTTCTATATTCTGAAGTGTTACATTTTAATTGGGGCATTTTTATTTCAGGCTGGTACACTGAAAGAATGTTCAGATGCTGAGCCAAACATGTAGAACATTAGACAGAATAAGAGAATTATTTATACTTTGCAATGAACATCTTGTGCAACTTGTCTCAGTGCTCTGAGTGATAGGTCAGGCCACATAGACATTTTCTATAATTGAACATGATCATACTACCACTGTTTTAGGCAAACAGCTGCATTCAGAATGCCAGCTGGCACTTACTCAGCAGTGGCTGCCTCGCACCAAGGAAAGAGACAGCAAATCTACTGCTTCCAGCAAAGCAGTTGCTCTTCCTTTCTCATTTTTGCAGGTGCAGGAAAGAAGGCTTATTGAACAACTACTGTCTTGCACTGGCTATGTGATACTTACCTATTTTCACTACCAACCAACAAACCCTAAACCTTACCACATCCAGCATCCTGTTCCACCGTATCCATAGGTACACAAAATGACTGGGAGCCACTCTGCCAGGAGCAACTATCAGTCATACCTTGCTAAGTATCAACCAGCACCTCTAAGCTTCTGCCAGGTTATCTCCAGTACATAGGTGATATTGCTCCCTCCTCCTGGGATCATAACAGTACTCTCACTTCGAGCTCTAACTCAATTTTGCACCTGACTACAAGTAATTAAAATAAAGACAGTTGCTTGGAAATGAACAGAATAAAATGCTATGAAAAAGACAGAGTAAAAACAGAAGATTGTAATTAAAACCCCAGACGCAAGGAGGAGCTCCTGAATGAGAAACATCTGGCTACAAGCAGGACAAAAAACTCATGATCAGAGAGAGCAAACTGCCCAAGTCCCCAGTGAAAAGAGAGAGAGGAGAACATGTGTGGAGAACAAACTTCAAAAGAAGCCTGGAGATGGTGGCAATAGGTCCAGTGGAAATTGATAGATCTTTCCAAAAGAAGAAAGATTTTAGTAAGAACGCATGCCTAAAGACTTCTTTGCATAATATTTACCTGTGAGCAAAGAAATACATTTCTTTTGAGTGTTTTTTCATATCGTCATCTCCTTCCTTTAAAGAGGATCCAAGAGATTTCTTTCTCAGAGGCATCAAACACAGATGGGTTATGGATTAAAGCAGTGGAATACTAAAGACTGAACTTTGATATTTCAGAGATAAAGAAGAAATATATCTAAAGTGGTGCAGAAAACATCCCCTAGCTCACCCTGAAACAGCAACAGCACTGTGGCTATAAGCAGCATGGCAGTCTGACTATCTCATCAAAAAGACAAAAAAACCTAAGCTTTCAGGAGTGAGGAGAGAAAGATGGAGGCAAAAGCCCATGTATCAAAATAAGCAAGTGCTCACAGAGAGTTAAAAGTAAGAATCACAGACACAGCTTGACCCAAAATGGTACAGCTGACAAACAACAGTCTTATCTTCTGATTTATATTTTTTTCAAAAAGAATAAATTTAGTCTTAGTACATTGATGAGAAAAAGAAATCACCACCTTGGAGCGTTAGTTTTACAGAACTAAAATGTAAATTACAAAATAAAACAAGAAACATTCTTTTCAGAATAGACCCCCAGCAGCACATCTATATAGCAAGGATAAACTAGTAGAAATGATGACTACCATTTGTATTGTCTTTCATGGTTATGTTTAAATATTTCACAATTTCATTTTAAAACAATAAAATAAATAATTTCTCATAATTACTGAAATGCAGCTATGTTCTGTGTGAAATGTGGCACCTGTTCAAACATGCAAACCAAAATGAAACTGAGATTAGGAAATTAAAAGTGGGTAGTTTTATCAAAATGAATCTGAAGGGAAAACTTTATACTGGCAAAATTAATTACTCTAAATCATTGCTCCTTCTCTCAACATCTGTGATGAAATCATTAATTTCTCCCTAGAAACACTGAGAATCAACTTGAAGAGTGTCCAAGTAAGTTGTTCCTACTCCTTGAAATGAGAAATAATGAAGAAACTAAGAGTACTTTGGAAACATCTGTCATTAATCAGGAATAAACAGTAAGACTTTTAAATAATTTTTTTTAAGAAGTAGAAACTAGACTTACAATATTTTGAGTGTGAGTCTCACAATGAGACATCACTGTGTTTTTCCAGAGCCCACTTTCTCTTTTCATTTCCCTCCACAATCTCGCACCTGTTTGTAAGACACTCTTCACATGGTAGCACATTTTCAGTCAAGACACTAACATGGCCCCTACCCTCCAAATATTTTTAAATATCAGTCTACCATTATGCCATCCAAGATCATTGTAGTACCTCATATCTAGCTGAGTCCTGCAAAGACTAGCCTCATTTTCACACAGGCAACTGAGGCACTGATGTCCTGCACAAGATGTACACTTACTGCAGTACTGGCCACACCACAGCTCTACAGCAGAGGTAAGATCCAAAACTGAGTCTACCAGGAAAACATTAATACTTTAATCTGCCCATTGGGCTGCTACAATTTGGATAATCCATGTCCAATGAGGGAACAATCACAAATTTTGCTCAGGTTTTTTGAACAATTTTCATTTACCAATTCCAGAAATGAGGTAATCATTTTGGATTCTAAATTAAAGCTGTGTAGATTTTAACTCTAGAAAATTCTTCCTTAATGAGAAATTTTTCCAGGATTATATTCCAACAAATGGGATCTTTGGGGAAAAGGAGCACTCTCTTACAAAACACCTAAATATTACCACAATGAAAATCAGATACTCATTTTGTAAAATCATTTTGAATGGTGCCTATCTGATTTGCCAACCAGTTCAATAGCCAGAACTATTCAAGCAAAAGGGTATGAAGACCTTTTCCAGTAGCTGCATTAGCAACTGTATGTTCAAAAAGATTGTATCACTGAATCACAGAGTTGAGTTTGGAAGAGACCTCCAGGGGTCATTTGGTCCAACCCCCCCTACTCATGCAGGGTCACCCAAAGCCAGTTGCCCAGGACCTTGTCCAGATAACCTCTGAATATCTCCAAGAATGAAAACTCCACAACTTCTCTGGGCAACCTGTGCTAGTGCTTGGTCACCATCATAGTAAAGAAGTGCTTCCTGATGTTCAGATGAAACCTCCATTATTTCCGTTTGTGCCCACTGCCTCTGGCCCGTCATTTGGCACCATTGTAAAGAGCCTGGCTCTGTTCTCTTTGCACTCTCCCTTTAGGTATTTATATACATTAATAAGATCCTCCCTCAGCCTTCTCTTCTCTAGGCTGACCAGTGCCAATTCTCTCAGCTTTTTCTCACAGAAGAAATGCTCCTGTCCCTTCATCATTGCTGTGGCCCTTCATTGGACTCTCTTCAGTATGTCTATGTCTCTCTTGTACTAAGGAGCCCAGAACTGGATGCAGCACGCCAGGTATGGCCTCATCAGTGCTGAACAGAGGGGAAGAATCACCTTTATTGACCTGCTGGCAATATTTTGCCTAATGCTGCTCAGTGTACCATTAAACTTTGCCACACAGGCACATTGCTGGCTAATGTTCAACGTGGTGTCCACCAGGCTGCTTTCCAGACTGATGGCCCCAGCATATGCTGGTGCCTCGGTTTGTCTCTCCTCAGGTGCAGGACTTTGCACTTCTCCCTGGACTTTGCACTTCTCCCTGGACTTCATGAGGTTCCTTTCAGCTCATTTCTCCAGTCTGTTGAGGTCCCTCTAGTGTTACCAGCCACTCCCAGTTTGGTGTCATCAGCATGCTTGCTGAGTGTACAGTCTGTTCCGTCATCCAAACCATGAATGAAGATGTTAAACAGGACTGGACTCAGCAGTACAGATTCAAGTTAGTTTAGTTACCAAGTTACCTATCATCTTCTGTATTTGGTTTGGAACCAAAACTTCTAACAGTTATTGAAAAAAATGCATGACCTAGTTAAATGGAAAAACAGAAAAGACATTTTGTAACACCAAAGATCTACCTAATTCTATGTCCTGTCTC